CAGGTTATCCAATTTTTAGTATATATTTGTAGTAGTCCCTTATGATCCTTTGTATTTCTATGGTCTCCATTATAACATCTCCTCTTTTTATTTCTGATTTTATTTATTTTAGTTTTTTCTCTTTTTATATTTGTTAGCCTAGCTAAAGGCTCGTCAATTTTATTTATCTTTTTAAAAACCCAACTCTTAATTTCGTTGATCTTTTGTATTTTTTTCTAGTCTCTATTTCATTTATTTCAGCTCTGACTTCTATTATTTTTTTCTTCTGCTAACATTGGGCTTAATTTGTTCTTCTTTTTCTATTTCTTTGAGGTATAACATGAAGTTGCTCATCTACAATCTTTCTTCCTTTCCTCCCTTGTAGCATATATTGCTACAAATTTTCCTCTTAGAACTGCTTTTGCTGCATCCCATAAGTTTTAGTATATTGGATTTCCATTTTTTTTTCTTTCCATATTTTTTTAATTTCTCTTTTAATTTACTTATTGACCCATTTGTTGTTCAGGGGCATATTGTTTAATTCCCATGCATTTGTGAATTTTCTGCAATTCCTTCTGTTATTGATTTCTAATTTCATACCACTGTGGTCAGAAAAGAAAGGCCCTTGATACGATTTCAATCTTCTTAAATTTGCTAAGATGTATCTTGTGGACTAACATAAGATCTATCCTGAAGAATGTTCTGTGTGCACTACAGATGAATGTGTGTTCTGTAGTTGGATGAAGTGTTCTGTATATGTCTATTAGATCCATTGGCTCTAAAGTGTTGCTCAAGTCCAATGTTCCTTATCAATTTTCTGTTGGAAGACTGACTGGTCCATATTAAAAGTGGTGTAGTGAAGTTCCGTACTGTTATTGTATTACAATCTATCTTTCCCTTCAGATCCTTTAATATTTGCTTTATATATTTAGGTGCTCCACTGTTGATGAATGAATGAATAAAACACGGGTTTTGTACACATAATAAAATATTATTCAGCCTTAATAAAAAAGAAAAAAAGTCTGTCACTTGTGACAACATGGATAGAAAGTGGGGACATTATACTTAGTGAAATAAGCAAACATAGAAAGGTAAATACTGCATGTTCTCACTTACATGTGTAATCTAAAACAATTAAACTCATAGAAGCTCGGAGTATAATGGTGGTTACCAAAGACTGAGGGGCGAGGGTGAATGGGAAGATGATAGTCAAAGGGTCCAAAGCCTCAGTCAGGAGGAAAAAGTTTGACTTTTTGTAAATCAATTGCACGGCATGGTGAACACAGCTAATAACTGAGTTCTGTACATTTTAACATGGCTAACAGAATAAATTTCTAATGTTCTTGGCACAAAACCGTTAAATATTTGAGGTGATGGGCACATTAATTATTATAGCTTAATTTAATATTTCTACATTGTATTCAAAAATAATACCACTCTGTACCCCATAAATACATACAACAATAATTTGTCAGTTTATAATAAACATAAATTTCTTAAACGGAATAAAATTAGAAACAACCATCCACTTGACCTCACGGAATACTATGCATTCATTCAAAATTGCAGCCTTGAACGACACATGATTCAATGGAAAGATGTTCACAACACAGCAAGTGACAATGCAGGTTAGGAATGGCTCTGCACGGTAGGATCCCACGTTTGCAAAGGAGCAGGCACCCGGAGATGCCTGGTCAGTAGACAGAGAGACTCGGAGGATGAGCCCCATCTAATTTCCCTGAAGCTGTAGTGCCTCTACCCACAGTCAGCCCACCCGTCACTCTTCCCTCCTTAGCTTTATGTCTTCCATGACTATGGTCAGCATCTGGATGGCAGGGTTGTGATTCATCCATTCACTCATTTTTTGTATGAGTCAAATCTGGAAATAGACGAAGACCACCCAAATGAGAACAAGCAAAGGCTGTTTATTCAGAGCTTGCTATGCCAGGGGAGTCAACCACCATCGCTTGCATTTGGCAGAGACCCGAAAGCAGGCAAAGAAGAGGAAAAACTTTACAGCAGAAAAAAGAAGGCTTCGGGTATGCCCTGTTGGCCCAGGGAACCTGTAAGCAGGCTAACTCAAAGCAGGGCATCCTGTGTGGTTGGCTGGGTGGGAACCAGCCAACCGCACATGTTTGGCCTTCTCCAATTGGTCCTAAGTTGCAAGCAGGGATGAAAATTAGGGACACTGTCTGTTATCCATCAAGTCCTGGCCATCTGAAGCCAAGTGTTATAGAGGTTATTGTTTGGCTTCCGGTTGGTACAGACAGTAGTTTGAATTCTTGGGCTGTTCTGCAGACTCTAGGTCAGAGTTCTATTTTTCCCTGTTGTCTGGTCACTGTCTATATAGTCTGCCCCTCATAAGCATTGAAAAAAATACTGGTTTACAAAGAAACATGAAACACATTACTTGCCTTTAGGGAGATTATGGTCTGGCAGAAAAGACATCCCACTATTTTGGAATGTCCTGGTGACTTGTCCGTTTATGCGGAAGGAATGTCTACCCAGCACCATGAGAGCACATTGCACTTGAGATAAAAGCCACACCCCAGCACCACGGCCTGCAAGACCCCTCAGTACCAGCCCCTTCCACCCCATTTCTTACCACCCCTCCCTCACTCACTGCTCTGCAGGCTGCACAGGTGGCCCCACTGGTGGACAACAAGCCCTCCCAGGACACAGGCAGTAAGGTACGCAATGTCTGCTGACCATGTTTGCCAGCAATTCTGCTGAACAATGTCAATAACTAAAGAAAACACTTCACGTACACACAGAAATCTATTATCGGTTTAGTTTCTAAACAATTGTTACCATTACTTTGAGTTTTAATCATATATATGCAAGCTTCAAATTAGCACATTTTTTATCACTTACATTTTAATACACATTCATTTCTACATGGAACTGAATTCAAATGCAAATAACTCCCAATTGTATAGAGGTCCCTGAGACACGGGGACTCTTAAGAGTAAGTTTATAGCCGTTCAGAATTGATGAAGTTCATTTTGGGCACAGACCCTGTACCCAATCCCTGTGGGACTATACGTCCCTGCATTTAAACAGTGGATCCAAAATAAACCATGATAGCCCAGTGATTGCAAAGACAAGGAAACAGAACTTATACGACTTCAATTCAGTCATTCTAAGTGATCATTTGGAAGTTCATTTATGTTTAAAGTTTAAAACGAGTGAAGTATGTAGTGTTGTGACCTTTCTGTTTGATAAGTGCAAATTTTAGGTCATGCATGATTTATTGAATTTTAATAGTGTCTTTAAGATTAAAATTTGTTATTTTCAACTGTTGCTTGAAAACAAAAAGAGAATCATGAAAATAAAATTTTACAGCAATGGTACAATTTAGTGCCCGGTGTGATGTTATAGAGGACGTCGATGTTATAGAGGACGTCACAAGAGATATTTGCAAACAGCCAGCCCCTCCCCTGAACAACGTACAGTGAAGCATCAAGCTTTAAAACCACTTCTTGAAGATCCACACTCTGAAATTGCAGAGAAGGCCATTAACTATGCAGCACACAAATACAAGGAAATAGGCAATTAAATAGAAAAAGAATCAAATTTTGAAGCCAAATTCGAGGAGAAATGACAAAAGTCACTGGTCTAACACTGCCAGAAGAAATTTAAAGAGCAAAATCTTAAAAGTCTTGATCACTTTCACCAAGAACTTGACACTTGGCCTAAAGCAATGGATCCAATAATGTCATGTTCACTATGGTTCGACCATTCTTTCTGACTTTTATAAAAGACGAAAAACTTTGAAAGTTTTTACTGAATAAAATAGGAATTCATGATGAGCTTTCTGGTGAGGATATTTTAGTGGTTTTCAACTAGGGGAGATATTTTAGATGGGATTTTTATAAATCTCTGCCAAAATTATCCTCACATTTAAGACTCTCATAACTATTTGTATGTATGTTCATGTGAAAGAAACTCTTTGAAATTAAGATTAATAAAGATGTGTTCTTCAACCACCCATGGGTGAAGACAAACTGACCGACCTGGCCATGATGAATACTGAACAGGTATGCATGAAGCCATTGGCAAATTTGAGAAGTCAAGGCTCCAATTAGAAACTATAATGTTATTATTCACTACTGCAACAGACTGATATGTAGAAATAAGTTTGTCCACATTTATGTCATTTAATAGTATTCATCTATTATGTATTTTTCTTTTTGATAGTGTAATTTTTTTTCTTCTGATATAATTATATATGAGAAATTCCATAAAAGGAATTTTTTCACTGTCTATACTTCTTTTCTGGTCATTATTACATCTTTAATTTCTGGAATTTTATTGAAAATTATTTTGGCATGTAGAGGAAAAGAGGGTGCTAGAATGATCCTCTCTGTGTCTCAAATGCACCAGGTTCCCTCTGTTCCCAGTGCCCCTTGGGACACATCAACCTTGTGCCCAAATCTGAGCTTTCGAGCCTACTACTCCCCTGCCTGGAGCACTTTCCTTCCAGATCTTCAAGGGCTAGACTATTCTCAGTTCAAATATCATTCTCAGAGGGCATCTCGCTCTGTTTTCTGCTGCTGTAAGAGAACATCACTAGGAAATTTGTAAAGAAAAGAAGTTTATTTCTCACGGTTCTGGACACTAGGAAGCCCAAGAGCACGGTGCCAGCATTTGGCCAGAGCCTTTGCAAAGCACCATAGCACAGCAGGAGGACCAGCAAGTGCACGAGACAGAGAGAGAAACAGGGGCCAAACTTCACCCTTCCCATTCCCGAAACGACTAACACACTCCCGAGACAACAGCATTTATCTATCCATGACAGCAGAGCCCTCCCAACCTAATCACCTCTGAAAGGTCCCTCCTCTTAACACCGTTACAACGGCAATTAAATTTCAACGTCAGTTTTGGAGGCACAACCATAGCCTCTGCTTTGCTATGCTCTGCCTGGCCAATTTTGCAAACGAGGTTGCTTCCCCAGAACAGCTCTCTGAGTCTTGCATTATCCTGTTTATTTATTCACTTGTTCATTGTCTCTATCCCAGGACCAGCACGGAAACCCAGCCGGGAGGGTGGGTTGTGCTGCCCTGTTTCCCTGCCTCCCTTCTGCACGGCACCTGCATACATGAGACCTACAGGAAGTATCTGTGGCATCGACCATGAACTCGGGGGAGAGGCGTCTGAGCTGGAGGGGCAAGTGGGTGGAGTGGGATCCGCCAGGTGCAGGCCCCTGAGGCCAAAATGAGATGGCTGAGAAGGTAAGCCGGAGAGGGGGGAGGAGACAGGGAGAAGTTTCAGGGAACTGCACGTGGACAGCGTGTCTGCAGGGCATTGCTATGGCAAAAAAACGCCAGGGACCCTGAGAAGGTCACCTGACCCTCTCAGGTAGATTGACAAGGGCTGTTAAGGAGTTTGGGCTTTATGCTCAAGGAAATTAGGCGCTGTTTTAAGCAAGGGAGGGACATGACCCAATTTGCCCTCTGGAAATATCAGTGTGGCAGCAGTGAGGGAAAGGAGTGGAAGGGCTAGAATGGGAACAGAATGGAGGACAGAACAGGGGCTGGGAGGCAGCATAAGCCCCCGCCCCCATGGCCCCCCAACAACTGGGACGTCCCCAGTGCTGGAGCAAGTCCTCTGAGGAGAGGGCGGGGGCAAGCCTAGGAAGGAGGGGCAGCGGGCAGGGGTGGCGGAGGCCGCAGGTGTGTTTCCGAAGGACACTGGTGCCGTGTACAGAAGGCGTGCTAAGCTGCTGGTGGGGAATGGAGGCAGAGGGCAGCTCTAGGAGACAGGACGGAGGCAGACCTCTCCTCGCCCTCTACGTCGGGGCACAGGGTTGTAGGGAGGACACAGGGAGGTCCCTGAGGACCGGCCCAAACACAGAAGCTCCAGGAGGGAACCACTGAAAGATGATCCTCCTTTATCAAAATCCAGTTTGGCAAGGCTGTGAAGGATGCCCCACTGTGAGCCCCCAGAGCCCACGTGCAGCTCCCAGCCAGGGACACAAAGGCACGGCTCTGGAGCCAGCACGTGCTCCAGAGACCCCTCCTCCCACACCGGTGCCCAGCACGTGCCTTGTCCCCGACTCAGCTGCAGATGCAGGGACTCTCCCGGGATAGGGAAGGGAGCAAGGGGCAGGCTTTGAATCTTTGCGTGCCGCAAGGAAGAAAATCAATTGCAATGCCCAGAGGAGGGAATTACTGCAGCAGAAGGTCACCAACTACTACGAGTTGCTGTATTGTCTTGGAGACTTGGACAGGGGAAAAATGTCTCAAAGTGAGGTAAGAATGCTCTGAGGTCTGATGCAAACCGCTCCCCAAGAATAACGTGAGACAGTCCCGGGGGACGGGACCACACAAAGGAAGAGGTTTCTTTGTGCACGTACAACCGTGGAGGAATTCCAGACTCCGGCTCCAGCCACCTCCAGCAAGTTCTCAACTGTAGCTGCGGAGTTCTGACACATGTTCAATCTTGGGGAAGCAGGCTGACATTTTAACAGCTTTGTTACGGTAGCAGCAAAGCCCATGGCGGTGGCCACTTCACTTGGGTTTGAGAGACACGCCTCACAGCCCAGCCTCCACGCCCTAGAGCTCTCCAGTTAATGCCAGTTTCCCTGAGCACAATGCAAGGATGCTAGGTGTGTGCCTGAGATGTGACTTCTAGGTCCCCCGCGGCAAAGATGGGACGACCCTATCTGTGCCCACGTGCCTTGTCTTTCCTTGGGGCCAGTGCAACAGAGGACAAGCAAAACAGAGGTCAAATGAAAGGTCACTGGGCTGGACGTTTAAAATCCCGTTTCTAGGGGCAGAGATGACAAGACAGCTGGAGCCCACCTTCTTGTCCAGGCGATGCACAGATGAGTGAGTGGTCGGCCAGTCTGTGTCCCAGGATTATGGAGAAAAGAGATGTCACAGGTCCTTTGAGGCTGCCACTCCCTGGGCCATTTGCATCAAGTCCCAAACCCTTCTGGATAGTAGGAGGCAGTACCTCAGCCTTGTTTCCTGATATTCAAAGTTAGAGAAACCCATGCAGTAGACTATGGGGACCCCAGCCAAGACCAAGAGGCCATGAAAGGCGAGGAAGCTTCTGGGACAAAGACACCTCGAGAAAGTGGGAGTCCGGGCAGGCAAGCGCAGTACACAGTGTGAGTAGGGGACATCTTGGTGGCTCTCCTCCCTTATGGCACCTTTTGCCAGGGCTTCTGAGAGAAAACATCTGTGGACCAGTGCTCCTCCTAGCAGAGGGGCCAGAGTAACCCAGAGGTAACGAGGGAGGGCCGAGCAGGAGCCAGCCTGCAGCTCAGCAACTGCCTGCAAGCCACACCCTCAGGCTGCTCATAGCCTGGGAAGAATTAAGATTAAATTAAAAACTGGTGAGATGGCACCAAAAGCACAATCCGTAAACGAAAACAATGATAAATTGGACTTCATCAAAATTAAAAACTTCTGCTCCTCAAAAGACGCTGTTAAGAGAATGAAAAGACAAGCCACAGACTGTTAGAAATTATTTGCAAATCACATATTTGACAAAGGACTTGAATCCAAATTCTATAAAGAACTCTTAGCACTCAATAATAAGAAAACAAACAACTCAATAAAAATGGGCAAAACTTTTAACACTTAACTGAAGAAAACAGACAAATAGCAAATAAAGCACATAAAAAAAAGATGCTCAGCATTATTACTCATTAGAGAAACGTAAATTAAAACCAAATGAGATGCCACTACACACCTATTAGATTAGCTAAAATACCCCCCCCAAAAAGAAAGAAAGAAAGAAAGAAAGAAAGAAAGAAAGAAAGAAAGAAAGAAAGAAAGAAAGAAAGAAAAAAGTGATAATATCAAGTGCTGGTGAGGATCTGGAGCAACTGGAATTCTCATACATTGTTGGTTAAAAAATGGTACAGCCATTCAGGGCAACAGTTGGACGTTTCTTATAAATTATAACCCTCGAGAAATGGAAATGTATGCTCTCACAAAAACCTGAATCCAAATGTTTGCAATGAATTTATTCACAATCACAAAAACAAATGTAAACAACCCAAATGTCCTTCCACTAGTGAATGGACAAACAAAATGTAAGACATTCACATTGTAGAGCACTATTCAGCAAGAAAAGGAACAAACTACTGTTCTGCACAAGAACCTGGGTGATTCTGGAACATGTCACGCTAAGCGACAAAAGTCAGACACAGAAGACTACATCCTGCATGATTCCATTTCTATGACAACCTGGGACAGACAAAAACTGTGGGGTCAGAAAGCATCAATAGGCACCAGGAGTTAGGGGCGTGGGGAGGGCTGGTTACAAAAGAAAGGGCAGCAAGAGAATTTGGGGGTTGATGGGTCTGTTCGGTATCTTGATTATGGTGGTGGTTATGTGGCCGTTTGCTTTTGTCTAAACTCCTAGAACAGTACACCAAAAAAAAGTGACTTATTGCCGCATATGAATAAAAAGAAATGAATAAATTTGTTAAAAGAACATTTTATATATATATATGTATACCATGGAGTACTATTCAGCTCTAAGAAACAATGGTGATGATATAGCACATCTTATATTTTCCTGGTTAGAGCTGGAACCCATACTACTAAGTGAAGTATCCCAAGAATGGAAAAACAAGCACCACATATACTCACCAGCAAACTGGTATTAAATGAGCAGCACCTGAGTGGACACATAGACACTACAGTAATAGGGTATTGGGCAGGGGGGCGGGGGGTGGGTATATACATACATAAAGAGTGAGACGTGCACCGTCTGGGGGATGGTCATGCTGGAGACTCAGACTTGTGGGGGGAGGGGTAATGGGCATTTATTGAAACCTTAAAATCTGTACCCCTATCATATGCCAAAATAAAAAAAATAAAAAGGAAAAAAAAAAAACTGGTGGTAAGAAGCTTCTTCTCAAAATGGATTTTCCTCCAAATTGGACAAACATGACAAGGGGACTCCACCCGTTCAGCACCTGGGAGAAGCCCCCTGGGGCCAGGCAGTCTGAGAGGATCTGGGGGGACTGAGGGCCCGGCCCCTTCTGCCTCTCAGGGCTAACCCTGGGGCCAACGGGAGCAGACAGACGTCGCAGCTGGAGCCTGGGGCTCTGGTGGAGGAGCGGGGGTTTTAACTGGGTCCCGGGGAGCGGGCAGGGCCCGGGAGCGTGGGCCTGGGGAAGGCAGACTACGTGAGCGCACAGACAGGGCCAGACCACACATGCTGACGGAGCTCAGCGAGGGTCCCGGCGGCACAGCCACAAGCATCCTGCGGTGACTCATTTGGGAGCCAGATGGAACATAAATAAATATCCAACGTTTAGCCTACTTAGATCAAGTGGTACAAGAGGCGTGGGGAAGGCCTTCTTACCAGCGCTGCGAATAGCCCGTCGGAAGGCAGAACATCACGTAGAGGTCGTGATGACCCCACCGGCTGACATGCTTACCACGTCCCAGGCACTGCTGCAAGTGGGGATATGTATTGGCTCATCTAATCTGCCCACAACTCTCCACGAGGCACTTTTATGACACCCGTTTTGCAAGTGGGGAAACTGAGGCACAGAGCAATGAAGTAACATGCCCAGTCCACAGGTGGGGTTCGAACCCAGGCAGTCTGGCTCCGAGCGTGCTCTCTCAACCACATGCTGAGCTGCTGTTTGATCCGAGTAGTTATAACGGCAAAGACAGCTTGACATATATTTTTCCAACCACCTTTTTCTTTGCTCCTCTGTCAACGTTATGCCACCGGCCCACCACAGCCTTCCAGGCTTTGTCCGGTGTCAGTGCACACCTGTGGCCCGCGTGGCATTGCGTAGCATGCACGTGTGTACGCACAAGGATGTGTACACTCCCGGGTCGGCACTCTCCCCTCAAGGAAGCCAGCAGACTCAATTGAGCCAAACACCACAGAAGAACCACAAGACGCTGGTTCTTAAAAACACTAAATCTTTTCCAAAAGAGGCCAGGATGTACGACCCGCAATGGGAGCCAAATGTCGTCTAAGAACAGCCAATAAATTAATTTCATGTGGAAAAAACAGGGTTGGCCCTGGGTTAATAAAGATTCCATCGACATGAAGATCCCATTACAACACAGACTCCCCTGGCAAGGGTCTCATCTGCTGAAGCCGTTTTGGATTCGAGCTTCTCCAGGGTCCTGCGTGCCTCACAAAGACTGTACATCAAATGCACAAAAAGATGGACCTGTCTAGACGCCCCCCTGCACATAAAAAACCACCCAGCCTTCCCGGTGGTCACACAGAAGTAGCCCTGTGAAAAGTCCCCCACACACGCTGGCCACCAGCAGCCAGCAGAACTGGGAGGACAAACATAGCCGTTCTGACTTAGAAATACTATTCAGGCTTTTCACAGGAATTGTTGTTGAGCTTCTAGCAGATTCTGAAGACTTTGTGAAAACTGGAGGGGAAAGTTTTTGTTGCAGAGCCAGCAGTCCCCTGGGAGAAACAGAGGCACGTCAATGACTCACTGGCGCAGTGCAGTCTACTCCACATCAAGATGCGTGGTGATTCAACCAGGGCTGAGCCGAAGACTCTCTTTGGCATGGCTGGGAAACAAAGGGCTCGGCAAGAGCATGGATAATGTAAACAAGGAGCAGGGATGGAGATCTAGTTAATCTCATTAATAACAATAATATTCATTCAGCATTCATAAATATTTACTCGGCACCTACTCCGGCAGAAGACACTGGCTAGGAGCTGGTGTATGGCGGTGGGTGACATGGGTGTGTGGAGCTCTCCGTGCAAAACCCACACATGCACACAAGAAAACACGGGACCGACTCCAGACTGCAGCTGCCCCTGCCCACCTCTCCTCTCTCCTCCTCCTCCTCCCTTTCTAGGAGACAGCCTCGGGTCCAGCTGCCTTTGGAACACAGCCCGGGGCCTACTCACTCGCGGCTCCCGCTCCCTCTGGAAGGCCCCGCGCCCAGCCCATGCTCAGCCGGCTGTCCTCGCTCTTGCATTCCCAGCTCCTCCTCAGGGGCCCACCCCAGCCGCCTGCGGAAACCCACCCTTCCTCTCCCTGGCGCTATTTACCCTGTTTATTTCCTTCACGTAACACATGAAGGACACCCTATTTTTTCTATCTGTCTCCTGAACTTGATTGTCAGCAACTGGGGGGCAGGACATAGTCTAATTTATGTTTTTAAAGCTTACTCTGGCTACTGGGTAGAGAATAAATTATAAGGGAACAAGAGTAGAGGCAAAGAGACAAATTAGAAACTGCAGCCTTATCCAGGTGGGAAATAATGGGGGCGGAGGGAGAAGATGGGGATGAGTGGATGGATTAGGGCGTACCCTAAGTGGGCCCTCCAGGCTGAGTGAGTGTCAGTCTCAGGAAGAGCCGTGCTAAGAAGAGCAACCAGGGATTATTTACGTGGTATGACTTGCAACTCATCTATCTGATAAGTGTCTGGTATCCAGGATATATAAAGAACTCTTACAACTCAGAAACAAAAACCCAAACAACCCAATTGAAATATGGGCAAAGGACTTGAGTAGACATCTCTCCCACAAGATTTACAAATGACCCACCCACAAGCACACAAGAAGATGCTCAACATTACCAGTCATAGGGGAAATGCAAATTAGAGCCATAATGAGGTACCACTGCATACCCACTAGGATGGCTATCATAAAAGACATTTTTTAATGGAAAATAACAAGTGTTGGTGAAGAGGTGGAGAAATTGGAACCCCCGTACATTTCTAATGGGAATGTAAAATGGTGCGGCCAATGCAAAAAAAGTTAATCATAGAATTGCCTTATGACCCAAAGGAATTGAAAGTAGGTACTCAAACAAACACATATACACACCCGGTCCCAGCAGCACTGTTCACAACAGCTAAAGGGTGAAAATACCCCAGACTGCCATCACTAACAGGTGAATGGATAAATATATTGTAGCATTTACAGCCGATGAAATATTATTCAGCCATAAAAAAGGGATGAAGCACTGATGCATGCTACAATGCAGATGAACCTCCAAAACATCACATTCAGTGAAAGAAGCCAGACACAAAAGGTCACATATTATGATTCCATTTATATGAAATGTCCAGAATATGTAAACCCATAGAAACAGAGCTCAGATTGGCAGTTGCCAGGGACTCGGAAGAGGGGTCAATGGGGAATGGCTGCTTAAATGGGTTTGGGGTTTTATTTAGAAGTATGGAAATATTTTGGGGCTACATAGAGAGGACGGTTGTACAACATCGTAAATGTACTACATGTCACCAAGTTGTTCATGTTAAAATAGTTAATTTTATGCTGTGTGGATTATACATCAATAAATTAATTTAAAGAAAAAAAAAAGAGTAACAGCCAGGTTTGGGGGTTGAGCAGTGGGGTAGATACAGGTGCCACTCACTGAAGCGGGAAGACTCGGGGAAAGCATGT